AAAATGATTTTATGGTAGATTGAGTGTAGGAGATTAAAAAAATGTGAACAGTGTCCTCTACAAAAAAGAGAAAACAAAAAATTTAATATTACCATATTTTTCAGTAAGGAATACTGGATTATACTTGTGCTAAGGAAAAAACAACCACAACAGAATTAGAACTTGAATATGCTTTAGAACTTACCCTAGGATGAGGGATGAGCCTGGGTTTTGCTAGACCACTACTCCCACAAGCAGCAAACAGATTCGCCCTTTTCGGAGGGTGAAACAAGAAGAGAAAGAGAAAAGTGGGCTAGCTATAGAGATCGGCCTACAAGTGAGGAAGAAGAGGAAAAGGAGAGAAGAGAACCCACCAACCAAGCGTTGAAAATTTGTAGAGGGGAAGCGGCGAGAGGAAGTGAGAGTGGAGAGAGAGTCGGGGTATTAATGTCTTGTGAGAGTGAGGTGCTCCCAGTCTTTTGGAAGAGACAAACCAAATTACTACTTTCACCTTCAACTATATTTAGACTATATTGATTCAATCAATTCAAAAATACATGAATACTGTTCAACTCATCCAAACAACAAATGAGATTAGTTCATGATGGATGAGCAAACAAACGAAGAAGAAGAAGAAATCTAAATAGTGGAATGCATGTTGATTTGTCCTAAATGACTTCTCCAGACTATTTAGACCACCCAATCGTTCGACATAGTTCTCCAAATAAAGTACAACATCTTTACACTCAAATTTATTCAGATATTGCATCAGCTTGCGTCCCTCTTCTTAAGAAAGCAATTGTTGTATATATATCAAGAATGACACATGTTTGAAATAGAGACCTCCCACTCTTGCGACTTGACCTCCACCCCTTTCCCTCCCTTACAAACCCACTTCCCCTCCCAACCGTCAGTCCTCCTCTCCCATCCCCCGTCCTCCTTCCCTATGTCGGCCCTCCCCCCACCCCCTCCTTCCCACCGCTGGCTCTCATCCCCTCCACCCCTCCGCCTCTCTCTCACCACACTAATTAGTGAGGACCTATTGCCAAAAAAAAGATGGGACGACAAGGAATAACCGACACCCCTCGGTCGGATTTCAGATATAATTTTTTCATATTCCTATGTATTTTTTTCTATTGGTATTGATTTTTTCATAATTGTATAATTTTTTTGTATTGGTATTGATTATTATGTAATGGTATTGCTTGTTTTGTATTTATGTTATCTTATTGGTATTGATCTTCATGTATTAGTATTCATTAAAACTGTAATAGTATTGGTTAATAAATGGTATATGTTGTGATAGTTGTAGTGGTAGTATTTTGTGTACACTGCAGTGGTAGTTTTTATGTTTTGGTATTGATTGCTTGTTTTATTTCTATAATGATATTGGTGTTTTTTGAAGTGGTATTGTTTGTTTAATGGAACGATATTGATTTCATGTTTTATTTTTGCAGTGGTATTAGTTCGGCTAAACGGAGACAATGAAATAATTGAGAAAAGGAAGAAAGAGAGATCTGGTTTTTTTTTCCAAGTAATGCCAAAGTACAATAGTTAAATCTTCTACCTAAAACCCCAAAAAGACAATTAATGAAGCCACCCTACAAAATCGAAGGACGCTATCTCTACAGAGGACAGCAGCAGGGCTTGTCTTGCCACTCTATGGGCACCCCAGTTGACAGTCCTCGGGACCGAGCAAAAGCGAATACAAGAAGAAAAAGAGCTCAATAACTGGAAACAATCACGAAGCAAAGGCCCGCCCACCGAGTCTTCACAGCATCTACCATCAAGTTGCCGGATAACTACTTCAGAATCACCGTCAATGATGGCCAGAGGAAGACTGCGAGAGTGAACTAAAGAGATGGCGTCTCTGGCGGCCATCAGTTCTGCAAGATAGGGATCCGAGACTCCTGGATGGTGGAATCCCAAGGCCAAAAAAACTTGCCCCTCTGATCCTCGAACGACGAGACCTGACGAGCAACCCGGAACACGAACAGCGGCATCGAAATTGATCTTAATAAAACCGTCGGGAGGACCAAGCCAACTGGAGATGCGAGAGGGCTGAGGGCGGGGAGACAAGATCTGGGGGAGGGAAGACACTGAAGCATATTCTTGTACTTGGAAGAAAAATTGGCGGGCAAGCGAGGTGGCTAGTGGTTGAGTAAATTCAAAGACCACTTTATTTCTAGATTTCCAAATTCTCCAAAGAAGGCAAATGCAGGGGAGATAGTGGATTTGGAAGTTTTCCGTTTTCATAACATGTCGCCACCAGATACCGAAGTTTTCGATTGGGGCGGAGAGAAGTAAATTGTTTAATCCCACCATATTCCAGAGGTGAAGAGCAGGAGGACAATGGAAAAAAGGTGTTCAATAGTCTCTTGACTATCCCAACAAACCGGACAACGAACTTGACAGTTAATTCCTCGGGACCTAAGAGCCGTCGTAGTTGGTAAAATAACTTTCAGACATTTCCATATAAAGAACTTAAGTTTTGGTGGAACATCAAGAGCCCACATTCCTTTCCAAATAGGAGGGTCAATGATGGAGGCCATCAATTTTTGGCTAAGATTTAAAATATTATCCAGGGCAAGATGATAACCTGTTTTTACCGAATAAGTTCTGTTTTTGGTAAAGTGCCAAATTAATTTGTCTTGTTGTGGAAGTAAGGGAACTACCAAATTACAAATGAGATCAACCGACTTTTCTTGGAACCAGTACCTTAATCTAGGGATGTGCCATTCCCGTAGGTCTTCTCTGATGAAAAAGGAAACCCTTGGATTGAAAATATCCTCTTGCCGCCTCAGCTCAGGAGGACAAGGCTTATCTGCTAATAACCAATTATCTTTGAATGCTCTTATATTGTTTCCATCACCTACTTGCCATCGTAAGCCTTGCACGAGTAGTTCTCGCCCATAAAGAATACTTCTCCATCCCCAGGATGGATTAGAACCTATGGTTGCTTCCAAAATCGTATTTTCATTGAAATATCTTCCTTTATACAATCGGCTAATGAGAGAATTAGGATTCGACCAAATACGCCAACATAGCTTAGCTAAAAGAGCTTGATTAAAAGCCCTAAAGTCCCTAAACCCTAATCCTCCATGAAACTTACTTTGGGCGAGACCTTTCCATGACACCCAATGGATTGGATGATCAAAATTAGTAGCAGAACCCCACCAAAACCTTGCCAAGAGGCCATTTAAACGTCTACACGTATCCATTGGGAATTTAAAGCACATCATACCATGAACTGGTATATTAGTGGCCGAGGTTCTGATTAGAGTGTCCTTAGCTGCTTTGGACAGGGTACGTTGTTTCCAACCTTGCAACTTTTTGCCCATCTTCTCCTCAATATACAGGAATGTATCCTTTTTGGTTCTTGGAATTAAAGAAGGAAGACCCAAATAAGAATCATGTTCTCCTATAGCGCCAACTCCCAACTGGGAGCCCATGAGACTCGCATCTTCTCCCTTAGTATTTTTACTAAAAAGTACTGCCGATTTGGAAAGGTTAACCTTTTGTCCACTCAGTCTTTCATAATCTTGGAACAATGATAATAGATTCGAACAAGAAGCACGTGATGCCTCAACGAAAAGGTAAGAGTCATCAGCGAAGAAGAGATGAGAAATCATAGGAAAGTTCTGACGAATCCTTATTCCTTCCAAGAGTCTCATGGTTACTGCCTGATTTATCATTGCTGAAAAACCCTCTGTGCATATAGCAAATAACAGAGAAGATAGAGGGTCACCTTGACGAAGTCCTCTCGAGGGTCTAAAGTACTCGGAAGGGGAGCCATTAACTAGGATGGAATATGAAACAGTGGTCACACACTCCTGAATCCAGGAAACAAACTGACTATTAAACCCTAATTCCTTCATCATTTCAAAAAGGAATGGCCATTCAATACAATCATACGCTTTTTCCATATCCAGTTTCAATGCCATCCAACACTTTGACCCTGAGTAAAGGGTTTTAATATGATGAGTGACCTCATGGCTGATCATAATATTATCTGTAATCTGGCGATCTTTGATGAACCCATTTTGAGATTGAGAAATAATTAAGGGTAAGACCTTGCTAAGTCTATTGGCTAGAATTTTGGAAATAATCTTATACACCACTTGGCAAAGGCTGATAGGTCTGAGGTTTTTCATAGTACGGACTTCCGACCCTTTTGGCACTAAGGAGATCCAAGTCCGATTAAAGCTTCTCAACAGTCTTCCAGTATGAAAGAACGTGAGCACTGCCTGAGTAACGTCTTGTCCAACCACTGGCCAGTAATGTTGAAAAAAACCGGCTGTGAACCCATCTGGTCCTGGAGCTTGGGTTTTCCCCAGGTTGAAGACCACTTTTTTTATTTCCTCTGCAGAGATAGGAACCATCAACCCAGGATTCTGCTCTTCTGTAAGATAATTTGTGAAAACTAGGTTGGAGAGACTTATATCGCTCGGATTCTGACTTTGAAAGAGCCCTTCATAGTACCTCTTGGCTATGCCACATTTTTCAGCTTCCGATGTACACCACAATCCTCTTTCATCCTCAAGTCCCCAAATTATGTTGTTTAGACGCCTTGAAGAGGTAACTAAGTGAAAATATGGAGTATTTTTATCTCCCACTTTTAACCAATTAGTACGAGACTTCTGTTTCCAATAGATCTCTTCTCTTTTGAATTGAATTGGATTTCCCTCCTTTAAAGAGAGATCTGGTTGGAGATTACAAAGTGCCTTAGACTCTTAGTTACTATAAAAGACTTATTTAATATATGATTTTTTAACCGATACATAAGAAATAAACTATTTACCTCTAAAAATATCTAATACATGACAGATGTATAATATGTCTCTGAAAGTGTTATTATGTCTCTAAAAGTATAGTATATATGACATATTATACTATTTTTTTGGTAAAAACAGGGCGCTAAGGGCGCCCAAACCTTTATTGCATGCGGACGAAACGGGGGGTTTCAATTCCCACCCAGTCAAAAAACAGCCAGTACAGCAGAGAGGTACACGGTCTATCCATTACATGAACTCCGATCGTTTGCGAATGACCCAGTGAAGCAAGGTGATCCGCGGCAAAATTCGCTTCACGGAAAATGTGGTCAATCGAACTGTCCAGTCACGTTGCAGCCTTCTCCTAATTTCACTGATCTGTGAGTAGTGCATATGTTGCTCGGTCGCCTTCTCGATCAGGGTTTTTGCAGTTACTGAGTCTGTTTGTAGACGAACTTTCCTGGCTCCTTGCTCCCAAGCAAGATCCAACCCATACACAATACCAGCCAGCTCCGCACGAGTGATAGAACCCCCTCCATGGTTTGCAGTGAATGCTCTGACGAAGCGGCCATCACTCCCCCGTATGATGCCGCCACAGGATGTGCTCCCAGGAGAATGGATGACTGAGCCATCTGTGTTGACACAGACCCAGTCTTGCGCCGGTGGTTGCCAGCCAATTTGGCGCTGCTCGCGGGTGCCCCCAGTCCCGAACACTATCTTCTCCTGATCGAGTGCTTTGATGATCTCGTCCCGGAGCTGTCTTGAAGTAAACTGGATTTGTGTATGGGTCTTCAACTTGTCTTGGAACACGAAGTCATTCCGGTTCTTCCACAAGAGCCAACAGGTTCCTGCAAACAAAGTAGCATCAATGGTATTACTCCGCCCTGAGAGGTAGTAAAGGCTCCACCTCTGGCCGTCGGATTCGAAGAATCTGGAGTCCGGCTCGTCTTCAAGGAGGTCTGCCCACATTGCTCGAGCAAAATGGCAGTCTCTGACTATGTGTAGGGTTGTTTCTGGTCCGCCTCCACAAATCTTACAGCTCGTTTCGTCGGTGAGATGTCGTCGTGCCCTCTCCGCGTTGGTAAGCAGTCGTCCATGGTTCATCAGCCACAAGAAGGCCCGCACTCGTTGCAAAGTTGGTGCCTTCCACACCGACCGCCAGGCTTGCTGTCCCAGGTTTGCCTCCGCAGTGTTATCCGTGAGCTCGTACGCCGATCGGAGAGTGAATTCTCCGTTGGGGTTGAATCGCCAGGTTCGAACGTCCTCCTCTTCCTCCGCCGGGATAGGGTGAAGGTTGATCTGCGAGACAACATCATGGGGTAAGTAGTATAGTAGAAAATCAGAATTCCACTTACCATTGAGAACAAACTCGATGACAGGCATTTCCAGGAGTTCCATCGGCAGGTTGGGGGCGTGGTCCTTGAGAATGGTATTGTCATCGAGCCATCGATCACTCCAGAATTTTGCCGTTCTCCCATTGCGGATATTCCAATACGTCGCTTCCTCAACCAAATGAGCCACCCGAGTTACCCCTCTCCAAAGGTTCAAGAGCCTGCCTTGGGTACGGAATTGGCGCCCCTCCCCCGTTTGCCTCGAGTACTTGCCCAGGAGGACTCTCGCCCATAATTCCTGTGGTTTAGTAAGCATCCTCCAGGCGATTTTGAGCATGTATGCTTCGTTTGTTCTGGTGGAGTCTCTGAGTCCCAAACCCCCTTCGTCTTTTGGCCGGCACAACATTTCCCAGTCAATGAGATGGATCTTCCGGCCCTGCTCCGTGCTGCCCCAAACGAATGACCGAATTTTCTTGTCGATATAATCTCGCACACTTGCCGGCAGCCAAGTCGTCTGCATCGTGTAGGCCGGGAGAGAGGCCAGCACCGACTGTGCCAACGTAATCCGGCCAGCTAGGGATAAAGTGGACGCCTTCCAGCCTGCCAGCCTTTTATCGATCCGATCAATGAGATCCATAAAGGTAGCTTTCGACACCCTGTCGTGAATTACCGGCACCCCCAAGTACCTCCCCAGATTATTTGTCACTGGAATCTGAAGTTCTTGGCTCAAACTTTGTTGGCAGTCGGCTGTGGTGTTGGCTGAGAAGAAAACCCGGGATTTCGGCCTACTGATCTGCTGGCCCGATGACCCGCCAAATTTTTCAAAGCATGCGTTTATTTCTTGAGACTGTGTTCTTGTCGCCTCGCCAAACAGAATCAGGTCATCTGCAAAGAACAAATGCGAGAGGGCCGGACCATCCTGCGATAACTTTATTGGTTTCCACCTTCCCTCCCGGACGGTGTCAGCAATAATGTGCCCCAGTCTTTCCATGCACAGGGTGAATATGTACGGGGAAAGGGGGCAGCCCTGTCTTAAACCCCTGGATGGTTGGAAACTCTCCGTCAGTCCCCCATTCCACTGTATTTGCATTGACCCTGATGATATGCACGCCATCGTCAACTCCACAAACTTATCTGGAGCCCCTGCCGCGACTAGAGTGTCCCGAACAAACCCCCACCTGATTCTATCATATGCCATTGCTAAGTCAACCTTGAGGACCATCCATCCACGCCTGCCCTTTCTAGCTCTCATCGAGTGGATCACTTCCTGAAGGATGCATATATTATCAGTAATGTGGCGCCCAGGGACGAAACTGGTCTGGGTTTCGTGGACGAGCTCCGGCATGAGGTTTTTCAACCTCTCAGCAAGGCATTTAGTGATTGCCTTGTACGCCACATTGCATAGGCTGATTGGTCGAAATTGATCAATTGTGATCGGCTGCTTTATCTTCGGTATTAACACCAGTATAGTTGAGTTGATTTCCTTGAATTTTTCTGGGGTGTTCCAACAGTCGGTAACAAAGGCTGCCAGTGAAGCTCCCACCGTTTCCCAACATCTTTGGAAGAAGATCGGGCTCAGACCATCTTTGCCTGGGGCCTTTAGAGGTCCCATCGCTTTCACGGCTGCATGAATTTCCTCCAAACTTGGCATCTGATTGAGCGGCTGCCAGCGAGATGCCCCCAAAGCCGGAAAGCCCTCCAGGAGGGCTAATAGATCCCCTCCTTCATCCTGGTACAACCCACTAAAATAAGCTCGCGCCATTTCTAGCAGTAGAGATTGATCCTCGACCCAGTTGCCCCCGTCGTCTTTGAGCATAGTAACCCGGTTCCTGCTTCTCCGCCGGATGGTTCTGGTGTGAAAATACGCAGTGTTCTTGTCCCCCGAGTTAATCCAATCCAGACGGGATTTTTGGCACCACAGCAGCTCCTCTTGAAACAAAACCAGCTCCAATTCCTCCTGGCATTGTCGAAGTTGGGCCTCGCTCCCTTGACCTCCCCCAGCCTGCTCGAGATATTCGAGCCTCCTCAGCAGCTTGTCTTTGCGCCTAGTTATGTGCCCAAATACATTTCTGTTCCAAGTTAATGCCTCCTGAGCGAAAGCGGTGGCCGATTCCGTGAATGAGTTTCCCTTCGCCCAAGCTACATCCGCCATATCTCGGAAACCCTCGTGAGTGAGCCATGCCGCTAGGAAGCGAAAAGGTTTGGGTCCCGCTGGTGGATGTGGCTCGGCTAAGGAGACCAGAATCGGCCGGTGATCGGATTTTTTCATACGGGGCAGGTGTCTCACCACTGTCTCAGGGAAATTCGTCACCCAAACATTATTTGCCATTCCCCTGTCCAGTCTCTCTCGGAGTCCGGTCCGGAACCAAGTGTAAGCTGGTCCTTCGAATCCCAGGTCGATCAGTTCGGTATCCTGGACTACCTCCTGGAAATCCCTGATCCTGGCTGCATCAAAAGGGGCACCCCCTAATTTCTCCGACGGGCTCATAATGGAGTTGAAATCACCCACCAAGAGCCAGGGTTGCACCATATCCTCAGCCAGCTGTCTCAAAAACCCCCAAAGCTCGCGATGTTGCATGGGTGCCGGGCTACCATAGATAGCTGATAGCTGCCATTCAATGTCTTGAGGAGAAAGCCCCTGTACCTGCACGTGAAGGCATTGTTGGTTAGAGTCAATACTAGAAATATTCAGCTCACCCGAGTTCCAGAGCAGCCAAATGCCCCTAGAAAAACCCACGGCATCAACAATAAGCTCCTTATCATAGCCCATTTTACGAATAACATTAATAGCTCGGTTCCCACTGATTCTAGGTTCCACAATGATCACTATATGAGGTTTAGACTTTCTACGATACTCCCGAAAAGCTCGTAGAAAGTCCTTACCCCCCGCTCCCCTACAGTTCCAAGAAAAAACTTTATAATCCATAAATAAAGTGGAAAAGGAAAGGGACTCCCTTAGAGTTGTGCGACTGGCGGCTGTGTCCCGTCAATCTGCATCCCCGAGGAAAAGTTCGCTGTGTTCTCATTTGTGACCATGGACTTCGTTAGTCCATTATACGGACTAGAATCCGGCGGTCGGCCCTGAACTCCATCGGTCTTGGAGGCTAACGTCACCTGAGGTTGGCCGCTCCCGCCATCCCGCTCTAGCTTCGACAGGGGCGGCTCGACCGCTGTCCGGGTCGGTTGGACGGCCTTTTCCCCCGAGTTACGCTGGATTGTCTGGGTGTCGGTGGCTTTGCCGATCCCTTCATTGATGTTGCACACAGTGGGAGACGTAGCTTGAGGCTCCCTGGGAGGAGGGCTTTCCTTCTCTTTTCTCGCTGGCTGTGGCTGTTTTGCGCCTTTGATCTTACTCTTGTTATATCCCATCTATTGATGCATTCGGGTGCTGGTCTCGTTAGTGGTGTCAACATGCTCAGTCCCCGTTTGTGTTTCCTCTTCCTCCTCAAGGGCAGCAAAGCGTGAGCCCCCGGCATTCTGGGGAGCACCCTGACCGGTTTTGGTTCCCTTGAGGCTCACATTCGCGCCTTGATCCTTCTTCTGGGGTCTGGATTTGCGTTTGGCGATCATCCATTCCCCATAGAGAGGTTCATCTTGATTGGCTACTGGCGGGTGTTCCTGCACCGTGTGCTCCGCTTCCATTGGTGACTGCGCTTTAGTGCACGAGCAACCCCACTTCTCTGCATAGGTACCACAGTTGAGGCAAATATTCTCGAGCCCTTCATATTGGATAAAATATTTTTTGCCTCTGATGGAGAATTTCGATAGCAAAGGTCGGGTGAGGTCCACTTGAACACAAACTCGAGCGTAATCGCTTCTTGCCGCTGTTCGAGTGGCTTCGTCGATTCGGATTGGTTTTCCAATACGACGTCCAATTTTCATTACAGCCTCTTGGTGAAAGAAGTGAATTGGAATATCTAGCAGTCTCGCCCAAACTAACGTTGAAGAGATCTCATGGTTGTAGGGGTCGAAATTCTTGTCCCACATGTGCACCGAAAGATAATTCGGTCCTATCATCCATGGTCCATTTGTGACCGCTCTCTCATAATCCATGCCACTCGTGAACCTAACTAGGAAGTAGCCATTCTTCATTGATGTTACTTGGATCCCTCCTGCCTTTGCCCATATCGTATTCAGTCGGATGGACACCGCTGTGTACGATACTATTCTTCCCAGTGGTTTCACTATCAGGGCTGATCGTAGCTTGCGACAGTACTCCCTCTCCTCAGCTGCAGTGAAATAATCGGCGGGCAGGTAGGGTCATCCTCTCCATCGAAACCTTCCTCCAGGCCATCCTCCCGCATTGCCGTGGCGGAGTCCTCACTGTCCGAGTCAGCAGCGTACCACTCGTCCATGCGAGCTTCCCCACCGAATAACCTACGTGCTGCTCCTGTCCCTTGTGACCATATATTAGGTCTGGGGCTTAGTGGCAGGGACGTGCCGGTTCTATCCGCCTTGCTTGGTCCTTCGTACATCGGAGCAGCGTGTGTCGCCGGCTCCGTTTGCTTCACGCGCTTCTTCATATGTTGCACCTCCCTGTCCCCTTTAGGGTTTGGTGAGACGATAAAAACCCTACGGATTAATATGTAAAATTAATTAAATTATTTTTAAATTATAAAATTTAAATATAATAAATTAGTATCCTTAGAGACAGATTAATATAGTTCCCTTGTAAGCATATCCGCGTATGTAACCATTATGGTTACGGTTTTATGGAAAAATATGAGGAGAATTAATGAAAGGATTAAAAAATGGAAAAACTTTTATAAACTTAAACTGTGAGATAAAGAGTAGGGGTGAATCACACCCACAAACCGACCCACCCGTTCAACCCGACACAACCCACCCGTATTTATCGCTAAATCAAAGGTTTTGGATTGGGTGAGGGTTTTCTTTTGTACAACCCGCTTCTTTGGGGTTGGGTTTGGATTTTGGATTACACAACCCGTAGAACCCGACCCAACCCGTGTTCCAATTATTGGTATGAGTTCGTATCCAAAAAAATATTTATGTCATATATAGTCATACTTATGAGAAAATTAAGATATTTTGCCATGGTTTTCTCTTAAAGTCTCACTAATCTAATGCATTCTTCGACTTAAAGTTTAGACATTTATTTAATATAACTATGATTCACGTAATTTTTTCTTCTTGTGTACAATTTTAAAAGAATATATTATTATGGATGCGTACATTTGTAACCTTTTTAGCCTATCTCAACAAATGTCGTGAAAAAACTAGACATAAGTTGAAGTAAATTAAGTTTTATTAAAATTCAAACAATATTTGTGAATTTTGATACATTTCACATCAGTTTATTCGTTTGAATTTTTAATTTGTTATAAAATATTTTTATGATGTAGAATAATTACATATTTTGTGTTGGGTTGGCTTTTTACTTAAAAATATCGCCAACCCGACCCAACCCAATTAGAAACAAACCGTAAGGTTTAGATTTTTTTGGGTGGGTTTGGGTTTAATATTTCCCAAACCGTAGTGCTTGGGTCGGGTGATTAAAATACCTAAACCCGGACCATCCGACCCATGTACACCCCTAATAAAGAGGCATTTTAATAAAAAGGAGAATTAGTAAATTACATGCAAAAAAAAAACACACACGAGAGAAAAAAAAAATTGTGATGGGGTTTCTCTCCTCTGAACTTCAAACAAACCCTAATAGTAGTCTCCATAGGTTATACCTTAGGTCATGTTCAGGGCAGAGTCAGGATTTGACATTCAGAGGGCCAGAGTTATCTATTATCTAAAAAATATTATGAAAATATATTAAAAAAAATGCTACAACAATAAGGCAAAAGGCATTGAAAAAGTATTTTCACCTACCAAATATTACGTGTCTCGTAATAAAAAAATATTACATGTCTCAATATTCCTCACCAATCAAACCCGAAACTTGAAACTCAAGACAACAACTCAAAATTTGCAACAACAAGCAACTAGATTTTGGACTGTATCCGACCCACCAATTGTGTAGCCAAACCATTTCCAATCACACTCTTCCAATGTTTCCTCGAAATATAATTGACCGCCATACTCAAAATTAGTTTATCAACATGCAGAGAGTCCTAAAACACCTTGCCATAACAAAGAGAGTTTTAATCCACAAATAATGCTCTCCATTCTCAAATCTATAAGGACGCATACAACACACACCATCAAAGGGTCATATCTGATAATACTCATCGAGTGGGTTCAAATTGGCATCTTAGCTCGCCTACAACTATACTCCCAAATTAAGGCCAAGTATAATCAAAGAAATGGTGTAGTATAGCGGAAGTAAATTTCATTTATCAACCTAGGGTGTCAAGTCTACCCTTACCCCCATGAGCCATTCATTCTGAAGCTAACCAGTTGTAGAGTGTTTAACTAAATCTAACAAAACACAAAACAAAGGTAAATTGGTTCATATTCAAGAATGAGAAGGTCACTCGGGTATGATTCTCCTTAGTTCGTCCATTAGGTCGATATTGATTAATGCTCTAGATTGTTTGACTCGATACTTTTACTGCGGAGAGTCCTTAGATAGTTTGGAACCCCTATTCACACAAACCAAACCCACTTAGATAATCTACCCGGAGGCAACGTTTACACAACTAGTATAGAACACCAAAGACAAAAAAAAAAATATAGAATCCCGCTATTGAGTGACACTCAATACAATCCCATGAATCGACTTACTTTCGTGTTATTGATTCACAAAGTTCATCGAAGATGCTCTATTGTCCTAATAAGATATTCTCTTTCATAGGACCATTAAGGATTTGCAGTTCACTCTTTATTGTTTACCAAGGATTTGTAGTTTACTAAATAGTTATAACAATGTTATCATAATGGGTTCTTTATTTGGGTTGTTTATGAGTATTTTGTGTTGGCCCGTTTTATGTTTGCTAATATTTTGCACTTGCATTCTTATTGAAATATTTTGCACTTGCATTCCTCGGATGAAAACATATTTTGGTTGCTATTTCATGTGCTTTCTTTGTGTTTCTCGATTTGAAAATAGTGATTTATCCCGACCATATACGATTCATATTTGTGGAAATCCATCCATAGTTTATTAAAAAAATATTTCCTGACCCCTCTTGCATATATTTTTATAGTCATGTTTCTCAATTCAATAACGGATCCCGACACAATCATGTTTGCTCCTTTTTCATTTCAGATGCACTTCTTGATTTGAGAACCAAGAGATCCATTTGAGGTTTACTTCTTGAAGGAAATAAAGGGATTACGGTTGAGGGTTTGGTACCTGATTGAATTAAATTCGTCCATGAAAAGTGTTTGTGCCATCTAGCTCGTGGCAGGGACAATAATGATTGTTGGTGCGGGTTGACTCGTCATCCGTTCGTCCGATTTCGTCGGGAGGGAGAGAACCTGTGAAAGAGCCGGGGTTGCCCCCCCGGATTCAGCTCCGACGATCAAGTCAGTGTCTGTTTGTGGAGTGAGTTGAGAGAATAGATAGAGAAATAAAGTGTAGAGAGATAGGAGAAAGTGGAAAGTGAGGGGAGAAGCCAGAAGTCCCCTTCTTTGGAGGGCTTCAAGCCCTTATATACCTGTATCGGGTACCAAGTGTTGCCATCGCCGATTGTGCGCTCCCCTACTTAGTCTGTGCACGAAGTATTTAGTAACACCCCCAACAATTGCCCCCCAAGCTGGTGGTGAGTTTTAACTCATCGCTAGCTTATATATATATATATTTTTTTTTTAAATCTTCGTCGGTAATTCTGGATGGAGCCCTATGTACCCCAGTTGCCCCCCAGCTGGTGGCGCGTTTGACTGACGCGGTGCCAGCTTCTTGCGTCTTGTCCCCCAGTTGGTGTATTACATTAAGGCGTGTAGCCCCCCATTAGCGCCATTAACGCTCAGGCAAGTAAAATATTTCAATATTTAATAATGATAGAGGGACAGAGTACTTAGCTTTATGTTGGCGACGGGTAGTGAGACCAAGTTGGACCTTGCGCGGTTGCCTTGTGGGTCGGGGCTTGACGCGGAGCGGATCGGGCGACTTCGTTGGAAGGCCGCGAGCGGATGGTCCCGAGACGCTTTTGTCGAACTGAATGGGCGCGAATAGTGCGGGACTATCGCTATTTTTTGTTCCGTGGAACTGAGTGTGCGCGAATAGTTCATGACTATTGCGACTTTTTGTTTGTTCCGTGGAACTGAGTGGGCGCAAATAGTGCGGGACTATTGCTATTTTTTGTTCCGTGGAACTGAGTGTGCGCGAATAGTTCATGACTATTGCGACTTTTTGTTTGTTCCGTTTAACTAAGTGGGCGCGAATATTGCGGGACTATTGCTATTTTTTGTTCCGTGGAACTGAGTGTGTGCGAATAGTTCATGACTATTGCGACTTTTTGTTTGTTCCGTGGAACTGACTGGGCGTGAGTAGTTAAACATGAGATGCCGCGCCATTGAAACAAAGGCCTTGCACGTAGCTTGCTGGTAATATTGCATGCCAGGCGGAGGAGTGGCGCGGGTTCGAACCCTCGCGGCGCCAACAATTATTTTTGAAGACTTCCGTGCGTTGGGCCAGAAGCAGAGCGGGGCGCGCTGGTGGGCTGATCAGGACGCGGGCCGGGGGACGTGGTCCAGGGTTGGGCCAGAAGCAGAGCTGGACGCGAGTTGGAGTTGAGAAACTTTAAAATAGCGCGCTGCACCTTAGAATCACAAACAATGTTTGTAGCGTACTGGTATTGTTGCTTGGCACGCGGAAGAGTGACGCGAGTTCGAAGCTTCGCGGCTACAATAATATTTTTGATGTGGCGCCTGTTGGATGCGTGACGCGAGCCCGCATGGAGGATTGGGCCTGGTGCGACGCGGGCTGGTGGAGTGCGCGGCGCGGGCCGCGACCTGGTGGGTCGCGCCTGGTGCGACGCGGGCTGTGATGCGGTGAGGAGCCCGAACTGTGAAATAATCAGGCGAATGTGCGTCATTAGTGGGTGGAATCAGGCCCGCTTGGGAGTGTGGACCGCGAATTGGAGTTGGAGCGGAGTATACTCTTCATAGCTGTGCGTCGGACATTTTGTTGTTAATGACATGATGCAGTCCACTGGTCCGCACTCTAGTCTTGTAATGCTTGAACGTGGGTTCGAATCCTCCGGGGAGCCCTCTTTTTTCTTGAGGGCGGAGTTAAAGGATGGATGTGAAGCGGGCCGCTAGTAGAGTTGTTGTGAATTGGGCCGCGATTGAGTGAATTTATAAGGAGCGTCGCGCTTTAGTAGTAATAATTGGCTTTAGTCTGCTGGTTGACATGCCCGCCCGGTGGAGGAATGGCGCGGGTTCGAAGGCTGGCTGCGATGACAATTTTTCTTTTTTGAAGCAAGCGGAGCTTGGGCTTGACAGGCCTTGAGGGGCGGATCTCGTAGAGGATGCGGGCCGCGAGTGTCGAGGCGGCGGAAGCTGAACGCGGGCCGCGAGTTGGGGCGCCTGCGAGTCGGGCCGCGAGTGTTGTGGGCCGCGAGTTGAGGATGTGAGCGGGCCAATGTGGAATGAGAGTGAGCGGGCTTGATCTTGCATGGCGGGAGATGCGAGGTTGGACCGTGCGCGTGAGGCGTGAGTGATTGGGGCGCCGCATGGAGGCGGGAGCCGGGTCCAAGTGCGTGTCTCACGGAGTGGACTAGAGGTGGCTCGAATAAAACTCGTGGGCCGGTGTCAATACAATATTATTATAAAAGCGGCTCCCATAAATTATACAAGTTTGGCTTCTGGCGTACTGGTCGTTGCACTTGTGAGGTGGAATGGTGGCACGGGTTCGAATCCCAGGCGGAAGCAGCTTCATCATTTATTTTTTCCTAATAGAATGCCGTGCATATGGGTTGAAGCTGACTCCGCCCGTGAGGCGGATCGGGCCCGCGGGTTTGGTGGGGGCTTTGGAAGCCCGCTTGGGGACTTGATGTGTGGGCCTCCAATTGCAGTTGGAGCGGAGTGGGCCAAGTATTGGAGGCGGGTCAGACTCGCAGTGGGGATACGAGTTGGAGCGCAGTGGGGATTTAGATCCTCCGCCCCACTTAAAACTCCAAACCAAGTACGCCTTTCCCCTAAATTTTTTTTTCCTTCCACAACTCCTTCCTATTTCACGAACAGTACCGCTCCACCAAGAGATCCTTCTCTCCCTCTCTTTTTTTTTTTTTATTTCTTTTCTCCAGTTGAATCTTTTCTTCCGCCACCGCCGATGGTTTGGAGCGCGAGTCGATGGTGGAATCCGGCAAGGCGCGGTCGAGTACTAGAGCGTGGAGTCAGTGATGGCGGCGGGGAGGGCAGAGCTGATTTGAGTCGCAACTCTCTCCCTGCCTCGGGAACCGCATGCCTCGACATCTGTGTCCACTGCTTTAGCGATAGCGTGTTTTTTGGAGAGAAGTTGCAGACAGACGACGTGACAGCTGACGGGACAGCTCTGGCACCCCTCCATGTCGACGAACACAGCACCACCAACCAAACCTTTCGACTCTCAACTCACCCCCCCTTCAAAAACCACGAGCGGTTCTTTGTACCCACTCAGTTCTAGCAATTTTTTTCTAGCAAAGGAGGTTTCTTCTGCTTTTGGGCTTCTTCTCATTTGGGTTCTGATAATCTTTTCATCTGGGAAATGGAGGCCGCCGGTACCGAGTCTCTGCGGTGGAACTTGGCGGAGAAATCGAAATTGGGAAGTGCAGAGGGATTTTCTGGGAGAAGAGGTTGGCGGTTTGGTGTTTAATAGGAGGATGGAGTAGAAGGGAAGAAAGAAGAGAGGAAATGGAAATAAAGAAAAGCTGGGAGGAGATTCTGAGGATCCAATAACGTGAGATCTTAGCAAATCTTTGGTATGGAGCCCCATCTTCTTGGTCTCGCATCCTTTAAAGAGCAGACGAACGGGATTGATGAATCGCCCCATGGTGGGCGCCAATTGTTTGTGCCATCTAGCTCGTGGCAGGGACAATAATGATTGTTGGTGTGGGTTGACTCGTCATCCGTTCGTCCGATCTCGTCGGGAGGGAGAGAACCTGTGAAAGAGCCGGGGTTGCCCCCCCCCCCCCCCCCCCCCCCCCCCGGATTCAGCTCCGACGATCAAGTCAGTGTCTGTTTGTGGAGAGAGTTGAGAGAATAGATAGAGAAATAAAGTGTAGAGAGATAGGAGAAAGTGAAAAGTGAGGGGAGAAGCCAGAAGTCCCCTTCTTTGGAGGGCTTCAAGCCCTTATATACCTGTATCGGGTACCGAGTGTTGCCATCGCCGATTGTGCGCTCCCCTACTTAGTCTGTGCACGAAGTATTTAGTAACACCCCCAACAAAAAGTTTCCGGCGCATACTAACCATCAGTTGTGGAGAGCTTGGAACGAACGATTGATGCCACGAGAGCGTGAAGGATAATCAGCAAACCCTAGTTTATATATAGGAAGAGATCGAGGATTGGGATCTGCATGGCTTGGGCTGGTGAAAAATGACAATCCATCTCATCCCTCTTTCAGTCCTTCTTTTCTATTGTGCTTATTAACTAATTAATGAGGTGTAAATTACGTATTAGATAGGTTAACTTCACAGTCAGCAACTATATTAAATTATTAATCATGTGGCTTCTTCTACGAGCAATGAGGAGCTTGACTATTACGGATATTATATGGGTTTAGGAGATAGATTATACAATGGTTGCTAGCCTTTCAAACAGGTCTAGAAACTTACTCCGATGGTAATGTCAAAACTTTTGGCTTCTGCGTTACCAAATGCTGCAGATAATGGCCAACTTAATCTTCCCAAGCCAGTCGTGTGTACACAAAATGCAACCGCCGTATAGCGGGTTCTCTCGAAAACTTTTCTCTAACTGACAGAATAAACAACGAAAAAAATTTGCAGGGAACAGATGAACTGACACTGCTCTACCAAGAAGAGATCGCTTAGGTGTCCTTCAACGTGAAACCTAGGCCTGCATAAACAGCACATATATGACGCTGCTGATATGACTTTATCAAAGGCATTAGGGCGCCTTATATCAATCATCCATGCCCTCACTGTCTTCACTTTCAATCAGCCCATCAAAGGGTTCGTTTTGCTCGCTGTCTTCATCGTCCATCTCCATCGCATCATCTTCTTCTTCTTCATCTTCATCACTTTCGTCGTTATCCTCATAAATTATCGGAACTACTGGTTCGTCTTCCTCAAGGCCATCATCGACAATCTAATCGTCAGAAGACATATAGCAAAGATGTTACATCATTTCAATATAGGCAAGATTGACAAAGTGGTAATGCCTTAATTAAAGATTTACAAATGTTTTAATACACACAAAAGAAAGAAGCATACCCCTGCATATAATGAGTCTATGTGACTTGACAACTGAAGAGCCGACTGGAAGGTTGACACTCTTGAATCAATCACCTGTAGAAAACAAGACAACCCAAGATTTCAGCACAAAGTTTGGATGAGGAAGCAACTAATACAAGCCTAATACACAACTACTATCGAACCTGATTCAAAGAGTTGAGAGACCGAAAAGAAGACTCCTGAGACATTATTCCACTAGCATGCTGAAGAAGTAAGTTTCTCAACCACGGAAGAGCGCAAGCCACAATTGCACCCCTACAGTAAAGTGCAACAGAAAAGTTGAGTTATATATGTATCACAGGCTTCTCCCACTGAAAAGGGTTGTTCCTCTAGCCTTCCTATAAGAACTTACAATATCTGAATCACAAGTTTGCAAATAGCTCACAACAAAATGCGCACGAAAAAGAAGAGGAGAAATGAAAAGGTTCCTGTGTGGATTGGTATGTATCAAGTAAACCGTTGGACTTCCAATTAACTAAGAATCGCTACAAAACCTTGCCTAGATGCTACATGATATTTAGAATCCCATAAGGTAAGTATGCAATTACCTGGCTTCGATTATAGTTACGAGAGAGTGCAACAGCTTGAGGACGTCCGCCATACTCAAAGTAGAAATTGACTTTGCAATGACCTACAAACATAGATTTTCTTGATGATCAACCTGACAAATTCCTCTTAACAATGATTCCAGATACCATCACAGAAAGTAAATCTTTTAAGAAGAGACAGACAAATAAAAAGCTGAGATCTTTTACATGGTCAGCCTTAGAAAACATAATTTCTTATCAAATTCATCCTTGCAAGCAAAACGAACACTTAGCGCGCGACAAAAAGGAAGACAAAACACAGACCTTCTCATCTTGGGTATATAAGCAATCTAGGAGAAGCGAGCGGTCATCAGCATGAAGCGCTTGCTTAAGCAGAATGTTGACTGAATCAGCACTTGGAGGTTTTTCGCCAGGTATCAATTCTTGGTCTTCCCCACTCTTGGTTGGACCCTCTTTTAACTCTAAACTCGCAAGTTTCTCGCCCATCGTTGGCTCAAGTGAATCATCATCTTCAACCAGGACTCCATCCACAGCTTCATTATGATCTAGTTAAAAGATCCCCATTCAGTAAATGCCATACAAACATAACCAGAACACTAACATCCAAGTACGACGAGGAAAACATAAACCTACTTCAGTTTAAACTTCAAATCCTAGAAAAATTCTAACCCTGTGCACGGGGATGGGCTACATGCATAGAGTACCACAGACAAATTATGCAGTAACAGTACGGAGTTTATCTAGTCCGAAATAGGGGCCAATAAGGTTCTACAAAAACAATGGCAAATCCAGAGTTCCGTCTACTTTCTCACACAGCAAAAGGAATAACAAAATATGAAGCAGGAATCACCTGAAGTCGTGTGATCGTCCAAATGGGACGCTTTTCGTTTCTTCTTCGATTTCTTTTTCTCGACTGATACAGCTGCAACTGCTTCCGAGCCCATAGGATATACTTATGAGAATCCGAAGCTGTGAGCAAAGTGGTAGCTGAACCAGTGAAACTTCGCTTCTCTCTATTTGTTTCGCCTCTGCTAGCCACGGCCAGAGATGGAACGGCGCGGAAGGGTAATCGGCGGCGATGGATGATTCAGAAACCAGAGATGGAGATAGAGTTGGGTTCCTCTGCGCCGCTCAAAAAGGCTCCTCTTTCCCGGACTGTTGATATGAAACAAACCCTAAAAGTGGGCCGTAGCCCATACCGTTAATTAGACCAGATCCATTGCTACCAAAAAAAAAAAAAAACCAGCAGTGGGTTTTCAGTTTTTTATTTTATATTTTTTTATCATAGTACGAGAAAATACTAGACAATATGTTTAGAGATCGGATAAGGTACTAACACTTTAACACTATGTTTGTTTAGAGGTGCAAATAGAGGGAGCAAATTTGGAGAGCAAATGCATTGAGCAATAGTAGTGAGGGGGTGCAATTGAGGGTAAAATGATTATTCGGGACAGGTTACGGTGATTACTAGTGGTTACTAAGGGTAAATTGAATATGAAAAATAAATTGTATTACTTAATTTTTTAATAAATTACATTTTAGTTAGTTACAAGAGTCTATTAATTACAATTATCTCTCTTTCTCTCACTCTCATAATCTCCATCCAGATCCATTTTCCTTATTTTTCTCAATCTTTCGGCAAAAGAAAAAAAATACGAAATCACTACCAATCCATTATACAACCACTACCACTTTGAAAAATATCAATACCATTGCAAAAATAAATCTATACCATTACACGAAAACTACTAATATAAACAATCTACCAATATAAATCTATACCATTTCACAAAAAATCAAAACCATTGCAGATTTAATCAATACCAATACATGCAAATTAATACCATTACATGATAATCAATACCAATGCAACAAAATCAATACCAATGCAACAAAATCAATACCAATGCGACAAAACCAATACCAATACATGATGATCAATATCAATGCGATAAAAACAATACCAATGCGAAAAAACTCTACCACTACGAAAAAATCACTACCATTTCACGAAAATACATACATTCACACATCTAGAAATCCAATTAATCATAGCCTCGATCTCCTGTACTCCTATATATATATATATATATATATATATATATATATATAGGAGTACAGGAGATCGAGGCATATATATATATATATATATATATATATATATATATATATATATATATATATATATATGGTGGCTACTTCGGTGCACTCATTTTTTTGGGTGCATTCAGTGTACCCGCCTCTAAAAGTGGTCATAATACATTAAATTTTGAAATTTAATGGGTTTTATTAGTCTAATATGATGATATAACATAGAATCTCAACTAATCAACCAATTACCCTAACCTATTAACCTTCAATTTTGAATCTCAACCCAAAATCTCAAATTGCAAACCCTAACCCTAACCCTAAATTCCTAAACCCTGAATCATTCAAATTAAAGTGAATCTTGTATGATTTTTGTACAAATTCATGTGGTTCTTGTTCATCATACCACAGGTGATGATTGACATCGTTTTCACATGAATCGCCTGCTCAGAATGACGATTATGAGGCGGGTGCATTGAATGCACCCAAAAAAGTGAGTGCACCGAAGACATAACCATATATATATATATATATATATATATATATATGGCGAGTTCTATGGTACCTTGGATGAAATCTGGGGTACCGAATACCTTGAGTAAGAAAACGCTATCCAGAACTTGAATTGACTAATCTTTCGGACATGATACTATACTCTAACTCTTAAAGATCAACATCTAGGTCTTAATTATCTAAATCTTATACTCGAAGATCAATTTAATTAGAAACAATAATCGACCGTTATGATTCGTCCAAATATAGGCAAAAAAATCAATGCACCATTTTAGGGTTTATAGTTTATGATTTAGATAATTAGGACCTAGTGTTCACTCATTAAGGGTTAGGGTATAGTATCATGCCCAAAAATCCTGCTAATTCGAGGTCTAGATAGCGTTTTCATACTCAAGGTATGCGGTACCCTGGATTTCACCCGGGGTACCGTAGAAGGCACCTGGCGAGTTCTATGGTACCTTGGATGAAATCTGGGGTACCGAATACCTTGAGTAAGAAAACGCTATCCAGAACTTGAATTGACTAATCTTTCGGACATGATACTATACTCTAACTCTTAAAGATCAACATCTAGGTATGCGGTACCCTGGATTTCACCCGGGGTACCGTAGAAGGCACCATATATATATATATATATATATATATATATAGAGAGAGAGAGAGAGAGAGAGAGAGAGAAGAGGGGAAGAGGGCAGCGTTGGGAAGGCCTATTGTGGGGTGGGGAAGAGGGTCATGGGAGGTAGCAGGGAGGGAGGGGAGGAGGGGCGGCGGAGGGAAGGCGGGATGGGGCGGCGGGAGGTAGCAGGTGGGGAGGAGACTGATGAGAGGTAGCGGAGGGGAGGAGAGCGGCGGAAGGAAGGCAGGGTGGGGCAGCGAGAAGATTAGTGTTTG